GGTTTAGATTAGATATCAGGAAGAAATTCTTCACAGAGAGGGTGGTGAGGCACTGGAACAGGTTGCCCAGAGAAGCTGTGGATGCCCCATCCCTGGCTGTCTTCAAGGCCAGGCTGGATGTGGCTTTGAGCAACCTGGTCTAGTGGAAGGTGTCCCTGCCCATGGCAGGGGGGTTGGAACTAGATGGTCTTTAAGGTCCCTTCCCACCCAAACCATTCTATGATTCTATGATTTAAAAAATATTTTAATAATATTAACTCTTATTAATGCTGTCTTACATGAAGTAGAAAACCAAATAATAGTAAAAATCTAAACTGGTTAAAATATTGCCATTAGTTGTTATTTTTATAAAGAACTAACAGTACATTTCCAGAGATCATGGCAGAGTTTGATTCATTACAAAAGTCGACAAGCGGTAGCACTGAATTGTTTCAGTAGCTCTTAATCTTTTCTTACTGTGTTGCCAGCATGGAAGAACTTACATGTTATCGCTGAGTCTCTTCATTTCTTTTTAAGATCTGTCAAAGCGATGTCTTTTTTCTTTTTTAGTTTGCTCCTTCCACTTTTTGTGCCGTTTCAGTAGAAAACGTTCATGTACGTTTCATTGGACGTGTATGTATCTATGTCTCAGTCCTTCTCCTTTTAAAACAGAAATCCTCCAAGATTATGTTACAGTTAATTAGTATCAACAACACAAGTTTCCCCAAATACTGTGGTATCTAGCCGGAGTTTGGGATTAACTTGACCTTTAGTGGGTGACTTAGTCATTGACTTCAGCCGCAGTGGGTGAATGTCAACTGTTGGTGACTGAAATGCCATGAATATGGGCTTCAGTCGAGGCACAGCTCTTGCTGAGTTCCAGCAGACCAGGAACTATGTAATTGAGAGGTTTTGTTATTACTGTTGTACTCCTGCTGTAGGGTTCTGCACAGATACAATTGGGATGAAAATACTGTTGTGTCTCATTGAATTCTCGGTGTAGTGACACACTGGGGTAGAAAGTACTGTTGTCTCCTTGAATTCTTGGCGTAGTGACACACTTGGGTAGACTCAAACAGGCAGAAGCACACTGCCTTTTTATCCCTCACATGTCTTAAACAGTGCCATTGTTTCTCAGTGTGGAAGGCTGAAATTGTAAGGGGGGATGTTTTGGCCCCACTAGCTTTACTTTCTTGGTTTTAGTGTTGATTCCCAACAATCAGCACTTCTTCCTGCAACACAGCCCCTTTCAGTCAAAATATGGTACAGTCTTTTGAAAGTTTGTATATTATGGAGATTCTTTTAAATTAACTGTTTTTAAAAGTGAGGCCAAATGTGCCTTTATTTCAGTTCTTGGAATAATTTATGAAGTGCTGACAGGCTAAGAGCAAGTGAAGAGCAGGAGTTCATGGCAGAAACAAGTCATTCACCACCTACCTTCAACATTATTGTTTTGTTATCATTTATAAAGCTGAGACGGTGTTTGCATCTACATAATAATGAGGATTTATAGTTTCCAAGTTGTTAAAATATCACAATGACATGAAAATATATTTTCTAATAGCATTACTGTTACTGACAATAACTGGGCTTTTGAGGAGTACTGAGAGAAAGAAATTTGAGTTGGAATGTATTGATGAAAACTCAGGGATAAGGTGAAATGGACGTAAAATGAAAGATTCCCCAGCTATAACAGTTTCCAGGATTGACTTGTGAGCATCTCAGCAGTTTTTTCAGAAGTATGATGCTCTAGTCATTTTTTTTTGTCTTTATTTTTTAGCAGGACTGAGTTTAACCACATGAATAATCGTGTTTTAAGGGTCTGCTGTCTCTGTCTCAGAGCATCGTTCTCAAAGGGAAAATGTTCTGGCCCTGAATCCAGCATTAAATGCCTGCCTCGAAAGATGCACATCTTAAAGGCACGGTGTGAACAGAACGTAGCTTAGAGAATTTCCTCCAAGGTTGTTTATACCCGTATTTGGTTGAGCATAGATCTTCAGAACTCGGAGTGTGGAGAACCCAGCAAAAATGTGTTGTTAGAATACCAGATTCCCTTCTGCTCAAAGGCGTGAAGAAATGGTTGAAGTCAATTATGTCTCTGTAGAAGTTTTCTTCAGTTTGTAGTTGACAATAGCATTTGCTCCCAGGTTTGGGTTTTTTTTCCATTTAAAACATTTTAATAACCTCGGATTGCATTGCGTAAAAATGCAGAATAGTTAGAGTATTAGGGTAGTGTAGATTATCTTTCTCAAGAGTTTATAAGGGGAGGTGAGTATGGCTGAATCATGTCTGTATTCGTAGTTTGGTTTGTATTATTTGGTGGGGAGCACTGTCCTCCTGAACAGTTTTGTTCTGTATTAAAAGCAATTATTTATTAACTGAAGTATAGCTTACGAGGTCACACGGCTAATTAGTGCATACATTTACATTTTCATTTCTGAAGGAATATTAGTGTATGAGTATGTGGAAGATGAGAGCTAAAAATTGATATCGATACACAGTTTGTTACAGACCTGGTTAATATTACTCTTTCTGTGACAGATGACTATTTCAAAGTGAAAGGAATCTATTCTGAATTTTTCTGTGCAGCTAGTAAATACTTAATATGTTAATATCCGATATAGGACGTGAAATGCCTCTGCAGGCAAGGTAATATAGTCAGGAGCTTTTTGGAGCACAAATTTCTGACCCAGTAATCTGTAGCTGTAGTCTTAACCGTTGGATATTAAGTGCTTTGTAGTGGTTTAGTATCAGAATTACCGAGTATAAAGTGCAATTGCTCTTTTGGGATGTTCTAGCTTCGCCTGCATCTAGGAAATCTTCAGTCTATTGTCTGAGACCATGGAAGTTTGTCTGAATCTTTCCATAGACTCTGCTCAGTGCGATGGAATTCCTTTAGAAAGTTTTTGGTGTGGGGTTGGGGTTTTTTTCTTATTCCGAATGAAACGTGTGACTGTGGGTTTGTTGTGTGGTGATTCACGGCAAGAAGCTTAGCACGTCTGTGCTTCATGAGTCCATCTGTGAAACTGGCAGTGATGCTGCCCAAGGGGTTGGGAAGCTCCGTTACACTTCCTGTACATCATCCCTTTCAGACACCTGGCTGAAAGTACAGTGAGGAGTCTTTTTTCCCGTTCTCAGAAATGGCCCCGTTTCCGCTAGGCTGTACAGAAAGTGTGTGCTGCTTTAGGTGGGTCCAAGCTGAAGGCAGTTTGAAATGGTACAAATTGAAAACAGGGAGGTTTAGATTGGATATCAGGATGAAGTTCTTCCCGGAGAGGATGGGGAGGCACTGGAACAGGTTGCCCAGAGAAGCTGTGGATGCCCCATCCCTGGAAGTGTCCAAGGCCAGGCTGGATGAGGCTTGGAGCAACCTGGTCTGGTGGAAGGTGTCCCTGCCCATGGCAGGGGGGTTGGAACTAGATGGGCTTTAAGATCCCTTCCACCCCCAACCATTCTGTGATTCTATGATTCTGTTTCAAGTTGCAGGACAGTGGGGATGGAGGCTACATGTTTTTAACCATACACCATGTTTTCCATATGTTGCTTGCTAAAGCTGGTTGTTGGAAGGAATCCAAGTGTTTAAGACCAGTGTGAGTTTTGCCATTTATTTCAGTGAGATCAGGACTGAGCTGTAGGGGACCAAGACACAGGTCTTTGAAGAAATGCAGTCTCTGCAGCCAGGTGCAGGAGCTTTAGAGAAGCCCAGCTTAAAGAATAATTTTGGTTTAGCTTGCTTTTCTTATATTATTATGTTGATTTATATATTTTAAGTTGATTTATAATCTGTTCTTGCTTTAATATCCCTGTTGGTTTATTTTGTTGAACCACTTCACATGTATACAAGTGACTTGTCATTAACCAAAACCGGGTAGTATGAATTAATTGCCATTATAATTATACGTAGTGTTTGAATTGCTTTCTGCTGATTTAAAGTATTTTTCTGCTGCTTAATTCTATCATAATACTGTGATAGTTTGTGTGCACATACATGTGTGCCCACACACGCTGCTTACAAGTGAATTATTGTAACTTCAAAATGGCCAGGTTAATGTGGTGGTGCAATCACAGGCTGATACAATGTGGAACAAGAAATTAATAGAAGAAGAAAGGAAAGGAGGGAGAGGTAACAAGAGAAGGCAGCAATGAAATTGAGTAGAGAGAGAAATGTAAAATAATCCAATTAAAAAGACCAGGAAAAAAGGGAATGTGGAAAAGGAGGAGTCCAGCTTTTCTCTTAGGGAAAGGGTGAAATCCTGGTTTAATGAATTGAGGAAATGGGCAATGCTCAACAATAGTTTTGAGCTTATACGAAGCATAATGCTACATATGTTCAGATTCCTGTAAGGAGAAACACTAAATGATGTTACAATGGGACATAATTATAAAGCGCTGTATGTGGGACATGCACATTGCGGTGTTTCAGAGGAGAAGTGTCCTAATCTCTTTTTACACCATGTAGTTCCTGATTGTGTTACTGCGTAGCTCATGAGCGTTTGCATTGTTTCCCTTTCCTTGTATCCTCTGCATGTTGTTCCCTCTTGCCCTGTTGCCCGTGTCACACATATCCTAGCGGTTTCAATGGCATCAGGACCGTGCTGACTTAAAACTGATCAGCAGTCATTGTACGTTTCTTTTGAAAATGGAAGAAAATTTCAACCGCCTAGAATGACGGACCTAAAATCTCTGTTTTCATTCCTAAAGGACTTATGATTATAAGTGCTTGTATTCACTTTGGAAGTTGTTTGTACTGAATGTAAATATTCAATATTGGATCTTTTAAACAGTCCAACAAATTCTCCATTGTGAGCTGGTGCTGTTCTTCGAGTTAATGAGTTCAGTGATCAAGGGGAATTTGGGACCTATTATCAAGGAACACTAAGCATCTGTAAATCCTGCTAAATCTTTTGGGGACTGCAGATATTCACCACTTCTGAATTAAAATCTTAGAATGACTGTTAAGCAAGAGACATCTTAATTTTTGAGAATTAACTGTAATAATTTTATTCTGATTTTTCTTTAAGCAAATCCAAACCAGCTCCACAGATTTCACCCAGTAAGTCTGTGGGAGGAGAGTTTTGTGTCGCTGCAGTCTTTGGATCATCAAGGTCATGGTTTACAAACAATCCTGGTCTGAAAAGAGAAAAAGGTTTGTATATTACAAAAATAGGACTTTCATTTCAATTTAAATTCTCTATTTTCTCATTTTGTGATAACCTCTGAGCAGATGGTTCTTATCTCTAGATTTTGTTCCTTAAACTCGGTGACATTTTGGGAATGTGGTTGGGGTGCTTTTGATAAATAGGACGATTTACAAGAAATTTTGGTTAGTGGAATAAATCATTGATCTTTTATTATGATATAATGATGGAAAACAAACTTTGATAGTTCAATCTAAAGATAGTGTGTGAAGTTTCACTGAAAAAACTATGAGGTAGAGGCGAGGCACCTTTGCTGAAGCAAATGTACAGATAGATGTTCGGTGATGTGTAATTACCTGAACACACCGTGGTGAGAGACTCTCTTCTACCTTCTCTTATATGAAATATTCCAGGGTTTTTGAAACAAGGGGGAAATTGGGTGCTTTTTACAATTTTCTCTTGGTCTCTCCAGCCGTTTCACTTCTAGTTCACATTTTTGTGTGCAAGCATATAAAGGCAAGAAAGTTAATAGTCTACTATTTCTGTGTTTTTTTGGTTTCTGGTGTGCTTTTGCAACAAGATTTTCTTTCTTCTTGGAAACAGATCAATCAAAACAGTTTGTAGTGGAGTCGTTGTATATTATCAGTTGTTACGGTAGCCTGGTAGAGCACGTCTTGGAACCACGTCCGCTCAGCACCGCTCCCAAGATTAGTGATGACACACCGTTGGAAATGATGACCTGCCCGAGAGCCAGCTGGACTTTGGTTAGGTAGCTCATTCTTTTACGGTTTTCTTCTTTTTGTCCAGAAAATGATTGTGAGCTTTTGGGTTTTTTTGGGAGGGGTGAATGAACTCTTCAAGTTTTCTGTCGAAAGAGAGGGCTCTCGATAGCAAATTTAAGCTACCTGTTCACATAGTTCTGTTAGTGCTTGTGTGTCTGAATGGGAGCTGGGCATTGACATACTTCTGTAGGTGTGGAGCTACATGAACATGTTAATGGAGCAACAGAGATTCTTATCAATTAATGATTTAAAATGATCAGATTGTACTTTAGCTTTCTATATAAGGACTAGAAACAATTAAGAGTGTTAAAGTACAGAATTCTGTCATGTCTGAATGGGAGCTGGGCATTGACATACTTCTGTAGGTGTGGAGCTACATGAACATGTTAATGGAGCAACAGAGATTCTTATCAATTAATGATTTAAAATGATCAGATTGTACTTTAGCTTTCTATATAAGGACTAGAAACAATTATTTTAAGAGTGTTAAAGTACAGGATTCTGTCATGAGAGTTGAGTGAGGTTTCCATGATGAAGCATTGCAAAGAATTAGGTGAGTTATCCTGTAAGTAGCTGAAGGTAGCATTTCTTAAGACAGCTGGAGAAATTATTCCTGACATGTGGAAGAAAGTAAACAAAAATTGATGAGAAAGTGTCGTCAGTGCTTTTGACGTTTTAAAATATTTTTCTATCGATTTTTCTTGTCTCCTGTATTCCTTAGTGCTGCTTATGGCTGGACTAGATTGATCAATACTTGATTTACCAAGCTATTTAGGAATGGCCGACCCTAATTAAAATTACAACACAGACTTCGAGACCATTATTGTTGAAATGAGTAGTTTGTAATGGAATTGAAAATTCTAATTGGATCAATAGTCCATAACTTTACACAGCTTTATTTTCACAGTTTGTAAATGCTCAATGACTTTACAGTATGAAAGCAGTGCTAGTTAACAGAATAGAAAAGTTCCCCAGCTTCTGCTCTGTGTTTATATCACGTCAGCATGACACACAATGGTCCTAAATGTATTTACCAACTTAATCTCAACCGCCTTCATCGTTTTTTTGCGCAACACATGCTGCAGTCAACAAACAAGTATTGTCTTTGTCTCGCAGTCTGTGCGATTTGGTCATGCTGCTCGGCTGCCTGTGGTGTATTGCAGTGTTTGAACAAGCTAATTTAAATAATTACAAACATTTTGTGAGCTTGTATAGATAATTACATGTGATGACAGAAACACTGATTTACATTCTCTGTATTAGCTTAAATATTAATAGTCTTGTGTTTTACCTCAGAACTCCTCAGTGGAATGAACTCCAACCACCATTTAATGCAAACCATCCACTGCTCCTGGCTGCAGATGCTGTACAGTACTACCAGTATCTTCTTGCCGGCTGTAAGTCGCTGACAACTTTTTGTCTTGTCTTATGGGCGCATTTTAAGCCGAGTGTGACTTCCTGAGTTGGTTTTTCAACATGCATTTATTTCATTTATTTATTTTTTGTTCTACCCCAGAATGGGCCTTCATGTAAGCAACTATATTAGAATGGTAGATTAGGGAACACAGTTTCTTTTTGGTATGAATTGAAGTTGTGAGGCTGTCGTCTAACCAAAATGTGAGTGCTTGGCAGGCCTTGTGAGTGTGACCCACTAGATCCCCTAAAGTCTTCAGGGTCTCTTCACTTCTTTCTTCTCATGCTTTTAGCCATTTCCTCTCATGAATTCAATACTCAGTGACAAGTGAGTGCATCTGCGTTTTCCCTCTCCCCTGGAACTCCTGATTGCTGGGCTACTTCCAGGCAGAGTCTCAGACAGCTGCTTCCCTCGAGAGCTTTGGCATCGCTTCCAGGGACGGCTGCCCACCTGCCTCGTCCTGTGTCTTATCCAGCCACGTCGTTTGCAGGCAGCCAGTATGCATGGCATTGCATATTCAGACACAATTATGTATCTATAGCTGTAGGTATATGGTGTATGCATATTACAAATATAAACTCGTATATGTTTTTATAGATAAATTAGTATTTATGTTATTATTTTTATGGTGACAATTCAAACAAGAGAATAGTAACAGTGAGTAGCAAGTCTCTCTTATCTAGGGCTTAGTCAAGATCAATGAGTTACAACAGTCAAAGTTTCACAAGGGAACAACTTGTGGCATATGTAAAGGTACTCAGGGGGAAAGTCGACCCTCTGCACAGTTGTCAGTGCAGCTAACGCCAGCGCATTATGTGACACAGGCATTTCAAAATGCAGGAAGCGGACATCTGGGCCAAAAGGCAGAATGTCTGAATGTGACTGGTAAAAGCGACATCGGTGCCAGCTTAGATCTGTTGCTTCTACCTGTCCATCTGTTGCATGCGCTCAGAGGTTCAAGTGTTGTGGAAACCCACAAGGTTAGGGTCTTCCTTCTTCCATGCTGCATAAAAAAAAGGAAGAAAACTGAAAAGTTAGAAAAGAATATGAAAAAATAATTGTCCTCACACAACACTCTTAGATGTGCCTTTTGGCTAAAATTTTGTGCTAGATTTCTGCATTATTTTCCTTTCACTTACAGGTATGTGCGTTTTGCTTTGGGATAAAAGGTCATTGTAAGGGTGTGTTTTGGTTGTATAATATTTTACTATAAATACAGATCATTATTTTCAAATGAGTATGTCTAATATTAGGTATGCAAGCCCATATGTAAATTTTCATATAAATATTTTGAAGCATTGAGTACAATTAGGCCAACAAATATGTTTGTAGTTCATGTCAAAGCCCTTAATGGACACTATTAACCGTAGAGCATGGGTCTAATTTCGTGTTGTAGTTTCAGGTAACTGCTGCCACGTAGTCTGCTAACGTTGCCAATAATTTATTTTGATCTTTATATTTTTATCCATTGCTTATGCACCTGTTGCTGATGATGACATTAAGTAATTTTTATGATAAGGAGGTAAAAATGGCCAGCAGGCTCATCCACAGGACCTGCAGTGTTTCAGTCAGGCATGTTTAGCTGGGCATGTTTACAGGGAAAAACATCATCTGCTTCCTGTCACCAAGGAGGAGGAGTTAAGACCTTTTTCCAGCACTTTTCCTTTAATGTATATCCACTGGGCTTATTAGTTAAAATACCTGCGTGAGGCAAAGCATTAGGATAAAAGGGTACTGTGGATTGCCGTGTGCATTTCTTGTTCTTTAGGGCTGTCAAGGGTGTTGCTTTGCAGAATTATCTCTGGAGAATTTTGGACACTTTGTAAAAGTAGTTTTGTCTGCTTTTTAGTTTCCTTTGAAATGAAAAGCATTGTATTGCGTAGAGATGGTCTGAACAAAAGTCTTTCTGTGAGCATCAGTGCTTATGTACTCAGATCACACTTATGCTGAGATAGGGACGGATGTGGTTCAGTCTGTGTATTTCATTGGCAGCTCAAATACTGTGCATTTCAAATGTTTTTGTATGGGAAACCTGTTAAAGGAAGAATGAGTGGTAGCTAAATTCCAACAAAATAATTAATGAAATCCTATTATGTGAATTAAAATCTGAATTAAAATTCTTCACTGTAATTCAAGTAATACAAATTAAGATGGGTGTGGAATGTAAGGCAAAATAGGATAATACTCCGAAGAGAAAGAATAGTCTAGAGAACATAGTAAAAATGGTATTGTCAGAGAAGTTTGTGTATATCTGATCTTCTTTGAAGTTTTATTTGTCTTCTGGATTTATTCTATCTGAAGCTACTCAGTGAAGTTTCTGAAAGAATGGAGACAAACCAGGATTCACACAAAAGAATCCAAGGCACCTGTTAGCTTTCCCCCTGTTAAATACATGCTAAAACGAAGTTTAGGCTCTGCTTACCTGCACTAATGTAATGGGTTGACATTAGCTGAAGTCCGTGGTTTGATGGGCTATCACTTCCGTCAGTACGTTTAATTGCCAGCAAATGGCTAAATAGGGGGTTAGGGTGAATGTTACATCTGTCTGCCACGTTAGTGGTAAGAGGAATTCTGGCGCCGTTTCAGGGTCACTATTTGTGTCTGTCTATCAGAGGTAGAATACAGCAGTTTCTCTCAGTTTCTGTATAGCATTTCTGCCAATTGTTTGGCTCCATTAAGTGTGCAGGGGAAATAAAAGCCTGAATGACCAAGTCACAAGGGGGTATGGATAGACCCTTTCTTTGTCCACACTCAGAACATTGCATTAGGTCTCATTATCCATTTATAATAAGTGACCTTTGCCCCCTGGGTCATTGAAAAATACTCAGTGTGCTTTTTAGCACAGAGTACCTCTGTCAGCAGACGGACAGAACAATGAAACGTCTGGCGGTCTGGTTGGAGGGCTGTACTGTGCAGGTTTTCATAAATACGCAGTTTGATGCCAAAACACAGGACCTTCCTTAGTCTCTGTAAAGTATAAAGTAGGCCAGTGAGTTCTTGTGATAGAGAATATTCTAAGAACACTGCACTTAGTTGTTTACACACAATTCAGCTTTTTGATACTTTTAAAGAAACTTAAAGTTATATTCACGCTAATAAGGAAGTAACAAGGAACCATTGTTTGAAGAAGTATTTTGTACATGTGTCCAAGACCCCTATCCCAGGGGTATTTGTGTGGATTAGCACAGCTGTTTCATTGCTTTGAGGTCATCTGTGACATCTGCTGCAGCAACCTGGATCCGAGCATGCAGTGCCTGTCTACCTGAGCGCCTTACCGTGGCCATGGCTGGTGCAGAGAGGTGAGAAAGTGGGTAGCGAGAGATTTGGACCTTCGTGCCTTGTTAAATTCCACAATCCACTGGCGTGCAGGGAACGTCCGTATCCTGCTCCGAACTGTTTGAGGCTTTTTGCAGTTGGGCAGAGTAAAAACAACCAGTCCCGAGAATCTCCTCACCTTCTGACAGAGCAGGTTTCAGACTCACTTTGGTTTTCGCAGGAGTTCATCCTGCAAAGCCCCAGACGTATGACAGCCCTCAGGTCTACCTCTCCTACCCTTCTCAGATTCAATATACATTTTGTCTCTAGCATTCCCTCTTTATTTGCCACTGTTCTGAGCTACTCCTAAATCTCACCACAGCAGAGGAAGGACACGTAAGTCACATTTTATTCTTCCTGGATGTTTTCCTGTACTGTAAATCCCATCACCTGCCGTAGTTAGACAGTCATAGCACACCTGACCGTGGGAGGAGAGTTGTGCGAGGCACTGCACGCATACATAGCGGGGTTTCTGGGCTCCACTGGAACTTGCAGTGTAAAGATGCTTCTGGTAGTGTAAATTCTTGAGGCATCCTGTTAGAATGTGCTTTTCATGTCCGTGCCAGTCAGCTGTTTGTGTTCAGGAGTTTTCTAATGGATCCTTTTCTCTCTACGGCCGTAACTCAGTCTCTTACATATTTGATTGACTTAACTCATGTTTCCTTTGTCTGACTTCTTTGCCTTCCATTTTTTTTGTGTTTGGATGAATACAGATGTGTGCCTGGTACACAGTGGAATCGCAGTGAAAATAGGTAATTCTGCAGAACAGCAGAAAGTCTTAGATCCTCCTTTCACACTTAGTTCCTTTCTTCCTCACCTGTCCTCTTTGAATTCAGTTTTTCATTGCACTGGAGGAATGCACTGTAGCTGAGATGTCTGAAACATGGACAATTAACACATTAATGAAAAAAACCTTTGAAATCGGAACCCAAACTGCCCAAAAAAGGTATCGAATAAAATGAGATACGGTATCTCTCCTCTGGCTCTGGAAAGGGCACCTTCACATTCCAGGCAAGAGTTTTGGCTCATCAGGACCAATTCTGTGGAGACAACCTGCAGTTGTCAGAAGCAGGCCAGTGACAAGAATTAATATATTAACTGGTATGCAGTGCTCTTTGACAAATTGCTTACTAAATACATCAAAATTGATTGGACATTCTGTGTTTAAATTGACAAATGACTGCATTAGGGAAAGGAGGGAAATCCATTAATTACAGCTGCCCTCAACCATAGGAAATGTAATCGTATAAATATAGATTTTGTTAAAACAAAAGTCTCTACTTTACTATAGTGTTGCTGGTAAGTGTACTTGCACCTCTTTGCTATTAAACCTCCAATAGGAGGTTTTGAAGACAGATCTTTGCAATTGGCTTTTAAATAATCAAAGACCATTTCTGTTGTGTTAAAAGGAATGATGCACTGTTTCTTTATCCCACTCTGACCGCTTCTGGAAATTGTTTCTCTCTCAGAAAAATGGACATGTAGCCGAGGCTTCTACTGTCTCATTATTTGTTTATTCTAAATGCAATGTAATTCATATTCCACGATGTTAGAATTCTAACCAGTACTCTGCATTCCGTTCTTTGTTCCTGTACTGGTCTCCCAGTAATACTTGCAGGGCTGTTACTTATTTCTGGGTAAGAATTTGCACTTGAGTTAGGCCTGAAG